TGTTCGCTTGATTACAAGCCCATGTATCATGAGGTATCACAGATGTATTCAACCATGACTTATCATGCACTTTGTGCAACATCTTTGTAACTGTCTCATGAAATGTGACCAACATCCTAAAAATAGTCCAGCATTTGTATTGGATAAATCAAAATCTGGATAAGCAATTTTTCTGCCTCTCTTCCTTCTTACTCCTTCACTGTTCATCTCACTTTCCACCCCCATACACATCAGAAATCTTGCAAAAAACCCTTTGAAAACTGGATTGCACATAGCTTTAGGAGGACAAAGAATGACTTATTCTGCTGCAGGTGCAGCTGTAATTTTGGTATTATAAGCCTTGCATCTGTTCCTGGAAAATGTTTGCCTACTTTCCTAATTATACAGGAGTTTTATCGTAGTTTTAATGGTCTACATATATGAGAGAAGTGAGATTTACAGGAGATTTAAGAGGTTCAATTAGTCCTGATAAAGGGACTCTGATCTCAGAAGGGTTTAATTCCAATTAGATTGAACAGTCTAGTAAAAATATTATCTCCCCCTACAGACATGCATTAAAAGTGTGTATGTAGCTATGATTCTTGAAAAATCTGAGCAAGTCTTTCATCTGGGCATTCTACCTGTAAGGACTCAATTTATTTGGCCAGAGAGTTGCATTGGTCCTATTTGCATTGCTCTTGGGTACTTTGTGTGACCTCCTCCTGCTGGTCCGCATATCTTTCTCCAAAATATGGACATTTTGAATAACCCAGGGCAATTGTGATGGTCTTCAGGTGTCCACAGAAGGTCTAAACACACAACATCCATACTTCATATGAAAGCCTGGAATTTTGCATGTATGAAAGTAAATTGATTGGACACTATCAGTGACTTAGAAATAATTGCTGTGATTTCCCTTCAAAATCCTCACAACGGTAACTGCATTACAGAGCTTAAGAGAGTATTTCAGTGATCAGCAGATTCAACCTGGTCCTAGTAAAGCAGTTGTGTAAGACACTTCCATTTCAACTAATTAACCAATAGCAATTTGGGGCAAATGCTGAATCTGCCTGCAATTTCTTCAGATTAAGAAAAGGGGCCTTATCAGAGGGCTTTAAAAATTGCATCCTCCATCCTACTATTTTTGTAACGTTTTGGCATTCAAAAATGCATTCAGTTACAAAGACAGCATCGCTAAAATTGCAGTTGTGGTTGATAAGCTCTGCAACACTCCTCTAAATGACTCAGTGTCTGATACAGGCAAGGTTTAATATGCTTATTTGTGACAGCTGATAACTAAACTCTATGAAGTTTATGCTGGTATTACTCCCTTACTAATGAAATTTACTGTTGGCTTAGAGGTTAGGTCTGTCATTTATTGGGCTTGTAATTTCCACTGCTTCCCCAATTTTTTCTCAGGCAGTGTAGTCACTGTTATACCAAATGGAAGATAAAAGAGCTGATGGTGAGGTCATGATGTTAGGAGACAGCTCATCCTGCTGTAAGAGGCCATGCTGCCCTAATCACTATGTCCATCTTCTCAATACAAAAGAAGAAGGAAATTTATTTTTTCCAGGTTGCAAACTATGTTTGTGCGCAGTGCTTCATACTAAATATTTCTGGAGACACTCCCATACATGTGGGGGGGAATAGAAGATTTCTCCCTTTTGTTCCTCAGCTCATGTGTTTGCCTGCTACGAATGTTGAACTGCCACTATTTCTGTCTCTTCTAAAGGTCCTTTACTGCCATATTATTAATGATCTTCTCTACTCTCACTGTTTCATAACATAGGGGAGGTTGAAAGGCATGCTTTTGAAGGGTCCCTGGAGAGTTAGTGGCATTAGCTTTCATGCACTTTTTAAACTCAAACCCTATACAAAGAAATCAAGACCTCCTCCATGAAAATAAAGCTAAGCATATGCTTAAATAACTGTCTGAATGTAGCTACCCATGTACCTTCAGGACATGCAGAACATTTTAGCAGCCAAAAGTTGTGCAGACAAATGCAGCTTTAAGAAATTAACATTTTTCAGTCTCCAAAACCTAAATCAAAATACCATTATATAGATAACCGAGAAGCCTACTGGAAAATGAGAACACCACCAAGTTTGAACACTATATTTTGGGAATGCTGAGTCTGACTCATTCTAGGCAACAGATGATTTGACATCTCTATATATATTTAGCTATTCCTTGTCACTTTCGAGGTATAAGCACTGTCTTCATCTTTACTCTAAGGTTTGAGATGTTATCAAATAAACACATACTATCTTGTCAATCACTACCTCATTATCTTACTGTCATTCCAGTTGTTAATAAAATACACTCCTCTCTGCAGTGAGTTATTTTTCCCGTCTCACAGAGTGACTTGTTCTGTGCAGGTTAGTCTGAACTGTAACAGCTTTTACATCCTTAAGGGGAAATCCTGCAGTTCTGTGATTTCACTGAAACAGCATGCTGAGAACCTGTGGCTGTTCACAAATCAGGATTTTAAGTTGCCACTCCTAACCTTCAATGCTGCATGCTAAAGGATACCCAGCTGTACTAAAATATGCACCATTAACACCTCCTTCAAACACTAGCAAAGCAGAGATATCATGCCTTCTACACACCAGTGAACCAAACTAATAGATTTCAAAAATCTTTCTATGCAAAAGGAAATCTAAACTTGTCAATTTTCTTTTAATTTGATAACATGCAATGAGTGCAATGAAAGTATGCTTTGCACTTTCAGACGTGTTGAACCTTAAGCCCCCTACACAAGATGTTATATGCCAAAAACAATTTGAGGGCATTTGTCACTGAAGCTAAAAAAAGTGTATACAGTCAAAAGGATAAAAAAAATGCAATTAGAATTAGATCTAGCATTTAAAACTCTCCTATGGGCACAGTTTTCCTCCAAGGAATAGTGCATTGAAAAGTAATAGAAAATTATATAAATATGATGCAATATTTCATTAAATTTAAAAGAAAATTATGTCTTTTTCTGGTATTCCATAGAAAGACTAAGAATCAGAACACACACCACTGAAGACCAGTGACAGAAGTTCTGTTTAAACTTCTTCAGTCGTTTGTTGGCTGTATAAAACTCAATATTCATTACAAAAGATGAACCAAAATGTGCCCTTCGAGTGCCTCCATCAAAAGCACAGGCAATAACTCCAATTCTTCTATTTTAAGCTTACGTACTTGAACCACCTGAGCTAAGGACTGATCTCTGTTAGCTGAGTTGGGGGCAATAAAAGCATTTGCCAATATCTTTTTAGGCTGTTTTACAAGAGATTCTGTTTCCAATACTCTGTTGGACTTCGATCTCTGTTGGAGCTGCTGTAATGTTCCTTCCAATATGGAGTATTGTTGCAACGTAGACAGTCACTGACACTCTAGTCTCAACTCACAGTAAAAATGTTTATTTCATCCTGTCTCCAGCAAAGTGATGGAGGTAGGAATGCTTCGCATAGGACCGATCCATTTTCTTCCATTAGAAATTGTGTTTTCCGAGTGTTAAATAGAAAAAGAACCCATGCAATCGTATGCCTCAAATATCATCATTGTGGGGTTTTTTAAATAGATATTTCAATTTTTTTTTCACTCGATTCCCTTATAAAACATTTGTAAGTAAACTGCAGAGTAATAGAATTGCAGGAAACAAGAAAGTGTTGACATATTTGAGTCAAGAGCAATCCTTTTATAGGAATATTAACCCATATTTACTCTGAAATCAGCAGGTTTACTTGGCAGTGATGAAACATATATCATATGAGTATAAAAATTTCCCTAAACAAATGCGTACAGCAACTATACAACTTTAATTGTAAAATAAAATAATGGCAGGTTATAAATGTTTATAGCTGCTACCAAGCATTCAAGATTTTCTGCATAAATTCAGTCTATTTAAGCTAAAAAGGCTTCCCACTGAAATCTAGACATTGGCTTCACAAACCCACAGAGTGAACAGAAAAACACCTCTGTCTTACCAAGGTTGTTTGCTGAACTTTATTGTTCATCTGCCTTTGGCCAAACAGCTTAAAGATTAGTATGATGCCAAACAATCATTCAGAGCAGATGGAAAACTTTTTATCTTATTATCTTTCATCGTCCCATGTGATGGTCCTTTATCACTGATCTTAGTTATTGAAAACTCTGGATTAAGCAGGTATTTCCAGCCCATGGATCAAACACAAGCCTTTCAGAGTGTTGGTCTGTGTAATTGCCCCTGTGGCAGTGCTTTTTAGCCTTGGAAGGGGTCTGTAACCAGAAGGCCTTGAAACAGCATTCACTGAACCTGGGTTAAATTCTACTTATTAAATTTAGATTACTTCATCAAGTAGTTTTCATAGTCACTTACTTCTCAACTGCAGCCCCAATAGCCCATAAAGATAGGGGTGTATAGCATCTTTCACTTGAAACTAAAAGAAACATTAGAAGAAACATTCACTTCATCACATCTGGCTGAATACCTCCATGCATATGCTGCAGCCCCAGCAGCTAGCTAGTATGGTTGGATCGTCATGGAAACATCTGGGTAAGTTATTTAATGCTTTGGTCTCCGAGGCTGTGTGCCATGTAACTCAGCTACAGGTTTGGCTCATCAATGCCACTGGGAGACTGTGTAACATTCCTGAATAAGTCACCACACTGTTCTTCCTTCCCTGTATTTTTCAGTTTGTTGAGAAGCAGCTGAGGGAGCTGGTGGTGGTTAGCCTGGAGAAAAGGAGGCTCAGTGGGGACCTTATTGTTCTCTGCAACTACCTGAAAGGAGGTTGCAGCAAGTGGGGGTCAATCTCTTCTCCCAAGTAAAAAGTGAGAGGTTGAGGAAATGTCTATAAGCTGTGCCAGAGGAGGTGTAGATTGGATATTAGGAGAAAGTTCTTCACTGAAAGGATGATCAGTCATTGGAACAGGCTGCCCAGGGAAATGGTGGAATCCCGTTCCCTTGAAGTACTTAAAAAGCATGTGGATGTGGCATCTGGGGACACAGTTTGGTGCTGAACACAGCGGTGGTGGGTTAATGGTTGGACTCAATCTTAAAGGTCTTTTTCAGCCTTAACAATTCTACCATTTTATATTCTCCAGCATTGCCTGCTCTCTCAGTGGGCAAAGATGAATTGCAGTTTTTGGACCAACATGTCCCAAAGGGTCTTTCGTTCTTCTCATTAACTCTAATGTAAGAATTTTGTCTCTGGTCCTAATCTTTTGATGAAGGAAGCTGGAGGCATTTAAATCTCTCAGGTCACCAGCATCCATGAGCCCTTTTCTGGGTGTTATTGATTGTGGGAATGGCAGCAGTGAACGTGTGCTGGTCCCTACACCGTATGGTTCACAGGCTGATAAATTAAACACAGCCCTCGTCATCTCTCACACTGAGATTTGCTAGGAAGTACCAGTCAGAGCTTTTAGGTTGCACTATATCAAGAGAGGCTCCTCCTAGAGCATATAATGTCCTTGTAGATGCCAAAATGAGCCAATGAGCACAGTAGTTCTGCTCAATAACTACGGCAATGCTGAGCAAGAATCTCTGGTTCATATGGATCCGAACGGAAGCATACAATGGCCTCTTCTGACCACAACATCTATGGAGGAAGCTGATGCCTCTGTCATAAGCCTTCAGTCTGAGAATGGCCAAGTTATCATAAAGACTCTTAAACTGCTTAAACTTCAGTTTTGTCTTCATCCCATCTCCTAGATTCTTTCCAAGTCACAGAGTCAGAAACATTTAATAGCATGAGAGGGCACAGGAAAACAGCTAGGAAATAAAGTAGACAGCACAGTATCTGGAAGGCTGGGGACTCTAATATATTCCCCCAAATGTGGAACAGACAGATTCACTGGCCAGCTCTTATTTCTTCACCTTCCACTGCTAGGAAAAGAAAACTCTCCTCTCACTGCACCTTCATCAGAGAAGAACAATTGCCCCAAATTTAATGCAGTCCATATTCAAACCAAGTCTGCCTGGAAACAAGAGACAACAAGGTTTTTAGGCTGATGTTATTAGTAGTCTACAGTAGACATTAAAGAATTTCGCAGGAAAAAATAAGAGGAAAAAACCCCCAAACTAAACCCAGTCTTTTTAGTCATAAGCTTACAATTAATAAAGAAATAAATACATCCGGGTGACTATCACCTTCAAAAGCCTTGAAAGAAAATAGGTTGCATTCACAGTGGTATTAATCATGCTCAATCTATTTCCCCCTCACTGTGAATCAGAGCAGTTTTCAGCTAACAAGAAAGGGTGCTCCGCTTGAGCCGACAAACCCTATTCCCCCTGACAGGAGATGCACTTAGCATGGCGTTACCATCATTACATCCCAAGGTTAAAGGCAATGAAACTCCAGGAGTGACAAAGTCAAATCAGTTCAATTGTCTGATTGTTCATACTCATGAAGTGGTGAGGCTGGCAGGGGATCCAGCATAAAACTTAGGACTTTCCAGAGGAGCTCCTTTAGGGTAATTCATTGCCCTCTACAGTAGCTTAAATCAGAATGGTCACAGTAAATGTGGCTCCCGACATTTATTAAGAGCAATATTAGCAATAGCCAGCTGCTAAGCCAGATGTCAAAGGTGCATTAAGAGCACTTTGTTTTGATCTAAATCATTCTGAAGAAGTAGAGTGGATTTGGCTTTGAGCAATGCAATAAAAAAAAGATTGTGATTAATGAAGCAGTACAAGTTAATAACATAAGTTGACTCCCGCTTCCTTCTCTCCAGTATTTTCACTGTCCAAAAGCAGTTGTTTTACTTACCAGCCTTACCAGGGACATGTAAAATGTTAAGCATCAATCTGTGGGCCATTAAAGAAGTGTTTTTTGTTTTCTCAGCTTGAAAACCGAGGGGGAAGCATAATAGGTTTGGTAAACCGAGCTGTTCAGATAATGGAGAAATTCAAAGAAAAGCTATCATAGAGTCAGCATGGGATCTTGGGGCCGTAATCCTTTTACTAACCTGACTTCAGAATGTAGGTGGGGACTGGAATTCAGGATTGAGACAGAGGAAAAAAGCCTTTCTCTTTCCTGAGATGTTCTAATTCAGCATGGCCTGGAACAGCAAGAGAAGATAAAAGTATTTTATTCCTTGTGTCTTATCGTTTGAACAGAGGGCACACAGTCAGAAATAACTAATTAACGTCTGCATTTTTGGACTTTACACTAAATAATGAAGTAAAATTCATGCAACTGCAAATTCAAGATAGAAAAATAAATAGAATACAGAATCTAGTAAATTGTGCATATTTATAACAAGAAGTGATGAATAGAGCTCTCTCTCTATTCATTAGATGGATGCAAAGACCATCATGCACAGAAAACATTTTTACATAAGCTTGAGCTTGGAAAATGGAAGTGACTGACAGTATTTTGAACAAGCTTCATGCAGTTCTATAAGACATTTTGTATTCTGTGTTTGAACATCAGCTCTTCTCTTCCAAGAAGAGGAAGAGGATGTAAAGACATCAAGAATTACTGAGAGGGGAAAGTCCTGGGGGAAAAAAAAAAGAAAAGAAAAAATGCTTTTCACACCTACCAGCTGCTCTTTAAAAGTGATTTATATATTTATTTATTTTGTGTATTATACATCGTAATTCAGAGCTCATTAGCAAAAAGCTTCAACGGCTCCAAAAAAAACCCTGTAGCCCCACTTTGAAAGCTGCTGGAGCAAATTCATCTGAAAATACAACCATTACAGAAATTCTATTCATCAGAAGAGCTCACTTTAGCATGTCCCTGAATGAAACCGCAGGCTTACCCTTATGGAACAGAGATACCAGCAAAAGACAGTTTAGTCACTTGGTCCTACCATATATATCTGAGTTAGAAATTTCCTCCCTGGGCATTTAAATGCAATCTGTAATGAAGAGTACATCAGATTTTTAGTATTTTTCAGCAGAAAATGAAGAGCAGTATGTGTTACTCCTGCTTTACATGCGTGAAGAGACCAATTTGATCCTAAAGTCTTATTTACAACAGTTTTAGAGTAAGAAAAATGGCAAACAAAGAAGCAATGAGATATGGCAAAAAAAGCATGTGGAAGGTTCATGAAATGATTGATGAATGGGTACTTCACTCTTCATTACAAGGGTGTTGGCTTAACTAAAGCAGATTTCCTGGAAAGTGAAGGTTTCTCTTGTGCTCTGGAAGGAACTGTGTGTGCTGCTCCTTTCAGGTTTAAGGGGTTTGACAAAAAGAAGTTCATGTAGGTAGACCTACCTGTAGTAAGGATTCTGTTCAAGGTACACCATTCCATAAAGAACAGAGAGAGAATGCTTGATATCTGCCAAAGTAAAGCATTCATGTTCTGATTAACATTCTGGTCACACTTGGAACATTGAATAGAGGGGTTTTAATTCCTATGGTAAATGATCCTGTTTCACAGGAGCAAATGGGACATTCTGATGCTGACCCTGAGAGAGGGTTTACATTCAGCTTGGTCAAGAAAACAGTACCAATACTGTTGTAATAAGAGTTATAGCACTTACAGCAGGTATTGACTGGAAGATAGCAATCCCAATGAAACAGCTGAGAAAGAAATTTCAAGGGAGGGTTCAGGAGAGACAAAGGAAATGATGCTGCCTGCTAAGGATTACATTCCTTTTTTTCAGTCCCATACAACAGATGAGTCCTTTTCTAGCTGTCAAGGAATGGTAGTATGGACCATATAAAACAAAGATTGTGGGTAAGAGTAATAGTCTGAGACTGAAGTGAAGGAGACTGGTAAGGGAGGTTATGGAAGAGCCTTGAAATACCTCCCATTAATTATAAAGTTATGCAAGAGTAAGCCTTCTATCGTAACAGTGCCACCCGCTAAGGAAACTAAGGCCTGATGCCCACCTGATGGCCATCAATCATAGTAAATAAAAATATTTAGTAGCTGTGCAGTAATTACAGTTGTGCAGCCCTGAAATGCTGGTTTCCAGTTCTTCCTCCCAGTAATCAAACACAGTTGATGGAGAAAAGTACAAAACTTTTAACTCTTCTTGTGCTAATATATTTGAAGCTTCCATGGATCTGGAGCAACATTTAAAAGCCACAAAAAGCACAATTTCATCCTGATTCACATAAATAATTGTGTTATATTAATTAAATGGGAGCAAGAATGTATGCTGGTGAAAGTAATTATCTGAAATTTGCTGGCACACAGAGGGTAAATAGCCAGCTGTCTGACTTCTCCCTTGGCACCTCAAAGGTTTCCAATTAGTGTACACATTTGTTCAGAGGAAAAAGACAGCAAATCCATTCTGGGTTAAAACAGCCTATGCAATTTGTTTCATAGTGATCTAGTATGTATTTAAAGGCTAGTAATATAGATGTGTCTACATAAATTTGATCTGTACATCACAGCCCTCCACACACTTCCTCACACACTAGGGCACAGTAGTAGGCTTTTCTTACAGGCATATTTGCAGTGAGAGTCCTATAATTGTAATATACTTGTCAGAGTAAAGTAACTACAAGAGTTGATGATGTGTGTGAGGAGTGATAATTGTCTAACTTGAGGAGAGGCATATTTTCCCAATTTTGATCTCGTCTTTTGCAGTGGTTACACATTTGCATTTTATCAGACTACACTTGAATCATCTAGAACACATGATTGGTGTTCTACAAGTAAAAGTTTATTAAAGCAAAGGAAACATTAAAATCCAAGGAAGTGTTAGTCAAGTACATAATACATAGGAGAGTTGAAGCTTCTAACAGGACTTGAAGTAGAAGCTTTTCTTTCTGTCTGAGTGAAAATCTACCATACAATGCAAGACATCTGACAAAATATTTGGAATGTTGTTGAATTCAGGAAAGAAAAGCATTTACATATCTGATACAAATCAAGGTAATATATACAAGTTGGCTTGAAACTGGGTGGTGTTCTTTGAAACACAGAATATTTTTTTTTTGTATGGTGACTGTGCTGTTAATGTCCTTTCTAGATGGTACCCCCTGTCGCACTTCTAGCTGGAACATACACGTGTTCCTTAGGCTAATGATGAAGGACTATATCTTTGCTTGAAGATACCTGTGATTTTCTGTGGCTCGGGTTTATTATGGTAAGGCTATTTTTACTCATGCAGAATACAAAGGGGTCATAAAAGTTTTGTTAGGATGGCTAGTCTTGAAATCAAAACAATTGAGAGAATCATGTAGGTCTACATGAGCCAGTAGGGCCAGTTTCAGCTGACAAAAGATAGTCGGTCACTAACACTCATGCAGAGTGGATCACAGAGACTGCACCTACTCTATAATTAACAGACCAAGCAGCAGAGAACCTCAGTAATTCTACCAGAAATACTCATGTTGTATTTAAATACCTCTGAAGAATCTACCTGATGGAAAGTAATGCTGTTCTTTAAGCAAGAGGTGCAGTACTTCACAGCAAATGCTTCCATCATTCAAATATTAAGTTAATCTCATGTTTGGCTTTGTAGAAAGTTAATACAATATTAATAGATTAAGATTTAGTCTGGATTCTGAAGGTTGTATGAGACACAAACCACTAGAAGTATTTTAAGCACCTAAGTAATTCTGATACTCTTACATTTTAGAATGGAAGAGTTAGATATTCTGGTTTAGGTATTATTGTGTCTTCGCTAGGTATTTTTTCTTCAGAGTGAATGATGGAAATTTTTAGAAATTCTGATAGTACACGAAAGGTATGAATGCAAGTGGGTCTTAGGGAAGAGGAAAACAGCAGGAAAGGTTCAGAGAGAGGGTTAGATAGCTAAAGAGGCAGATATTTTACTTGAACACTGAAGTCTAGGTTTAAATCCTGGCTCCACTGAAGTCAATGGCAAAGTTGTGGACTTCCTTTAGGCCTGCTTTTTAATGTAAACTGTGTAAAAATGATCTCTTTAATGAGCAATGACATCTTGAGAGTCCTCAGTTCAGAAGATTGAAATCTTGAGTTTTCAGCTGCAGTGAGACACTAGAGTAGGACAGAGACTCCACATGCCGGTCATCGGACAGCCTGCCTCAGGGCAGGTGACCTCAGGAATTGCAGCTACCCGGTCTGGCTTCGTATTAATGTTCATAAGAAATTAGTTGCAGACTAGCTGTCCTAGTCAATAGAATGAGATTAAGCTCCAACATGTTTTGATGCTCAGACATTACTGAGACAGCTGCCAGCCTCTACTGTTCAGATGTCATAAAGTTTCAACACGTTGGCATATTTTAAATCTCAAAATCCAGATGTGAGAGAGGGGGTATTAATTGAGATTATATCCTGTCACCCCCTCTAGTATTGTTATGGATGCAGTCTGCAGTTGGGTCACTGCACTGTTCTGCTGCTTAGGATGCAACAGGGTCATTTACTTCTTCAATACAAAGGACTCATATAAGGTCAATTACTCCTTCAGTTAATTATTCAGGGACAATATGAAAATAAATATTAATCTGTCCCACATTTGGGCTCAGGAGTCATGAGCCCACAGTGCAATTTCTGTCCCAGTTTGCCACTCATAAAATACTGGTAAAAATTATTAGTTACATTCAATTTAGTTGAAATGTCCTATCACTAACAATCCTTAGAGTGATTACATAAAGTCCTAAAGACTTTTGTCACTGTACCTGACTAGATCATCTGTGGCCAGCACTGAGTATCTGGAGGTCAATGCTTGTTTATGGTTCAAAGTTCAACCAATATCAATTGTTGACCCAATTCACAGAAAAAGAACATCCAAATGTTAGGTCAGAAATTGTCTCTGTCTGGCCTCTACACATATTTCACTATTTTTATATGTAGACATGTTGTTAAACCCACCTGCACAAAAACTTCCAGTTTTGTCAGGATAATTTAATTATTATTCCAGATTGCTGGTCAGATGCAACAGATATCAATCTATCTATTACCTATGCTGCTTCGGGATTATATGAGGTTGACTATTGAGCCACAGTTTGGTAGTGGAAGTAAATAAGTTAAGTAAATGAAAATTTTCACGCTTAAAGACATATTCAGGTGAAATACTACCTCAGTCTTCTGCTGAGGAGAAGGAAGGAGATCAAACACTGACAAATTCTGTGATCTAAGGTTCTTTGAAGTAACATGCTGATACAGATCTCCACACAGCTATTTTAAGAAAACTCCCCTCTTTGACCATCCAGGAGCCACCTTGGCAGTCACACTTGCTCTACCTGAGCTAGGACTGAGGCCCCTTCACAGCTAAACTCACCACACTCACACAGTCAGACCAGGTTGCCTTACTGGCTCAACCCTAGGTTTCCCACCCATAGCAGTCTCCAACTTCTCAATCCTTAAAATAATTTAATCTTGGTGCAATAACTAACAAAATAACAGCTTGAGCTGGGAGCATCCAAGGAGGGACCCCAAACAAAGGAAACCCTGGGCTTTTGTACTGTTACAGTCTATGCATGGTAAAGTCTGGGGGTCGTGAGCTCCTGCTGTGTCTCCGAGTGTCCAGTCACCTGGCCGGCACCACAGTTCCTTTTTTGTGCAAAGGGTCAGCAGCTCACGGCCTCTTGCCTCGGGCTTGGGCTCAGCCTCAGCCTTCTGCTCCCCAGAGCTCAATCTGCAGCTTACACACTGAGCTACCAGCCTCAAATGATTCCCCAACAGCTGCCAGTAAACGGCAACTACTGTGAAATTTAGTTTGCTCTTTGGAATTAACAGAGATCAGTTCCCATCATATCTGTATACAGAGCAGTTAGCTGCAGTCAAGTACAACTGCACTGCCTTGAATAAAGACCATGAAAATCAAAAGACTTACCTGTTTTTGTATTAAGTGATTACCTGAGATTGAGCACAGGAATTCAGGTAGAGCCTGGAATTCATGCTGTCTCTTATCTTGGGAGCTGAGGCCCTCAAGCTTGCTTTTTTGTCAGCACCTGTTCCATGGCTAGATTCTGGCCTGTAGCCTCTGCTTCATGGCTTGACATCAGACCTTCAACATTGTCTGGCAATTGGAGCTGCTGGCAGCAAGAAACACGTTACAGGCAGGAGTGAAGCCAGCACACATTTTAGCCAGGGTCTTCTAGGAGCCCCACAGCAAGAGGTGCAGTAGACACAGGTTGAAACAAAGGAAATTACAATTAGATACATTAATTAAAAACAAGGCTTATCAATTACTGGAACTAGCTGCTGAGAAAAATTGCAAAATCTCCTTTGTTGGAAAAAAGCAAAATTTACCTGGGAAAGGGTGTGAACACCATCTAATTGTAAATGCTTCGTGCAGAGAGTTGGACTAGATGAACTTCAAATGACACATACAGACTGAGCTCATCTACTTTTATATGAACCAAGGATGGTCCTGGGTGTCATTTGCTCTCCAGAGATTGTCTGAGGTCAATGGGAATTGTAATTAGATGCACAAAGGTCACTGAAGGTCAGCTGATTCCCATTGCCTAACCAGAGGTCATCTCAGGTCAACCTCAGAGACAATAATCTATTCAAGGAGACGTGTAAGGTCAATCACAGTCCTTATTTCCTGCCTAGCATCTAAAGTCTAGTTTCAATACTGTGAATTTCACTGGAGTAATCTGAGGTCTAACTAAGTATAAATTCAATGTGAAAATACCCCACGTATTTTGTCTAGGGTCATCTGAGATTAACTTGATGTGCAAACAGTTGACAAGGGCACCATTTGACATCAGCTAAGTCCTTGTGTGGTGCATAGGAGTCAATTGACATGAACCTGAGATCCAGTTAGATCTCTAGAGGTAGTTTCAGGCTTTTGCAACCTGAGGTCATTTGACATCAACATGAGAGCCACTTGTCTATTCAGAGGTGTTATGATCTGATTAGTGACAGATGCCTCTGCCCGAATTAGGGTTCAAATGAGAACAAATGCCAGTTCAACAATACTGACTTTATTTTGTAACATTAAGTGTGTAGAGGAAAGAGAAAGGGAGAAGGAGAAAGAGAGAAAGAGAGAGGGAAAGGGAAAGGGAAAAGGAGAGAGATAGTGCAAGCAAAACATAGTCACTACTCATGGATCCAGCAGCATCCCATTCATCCTTGTTCACCCTGAGCTTCTCAGTGGTGGGGCAGGGGAACTCAGTTCATTCTTCTGTTGGTACATCCGGTGCAGAGAGAGATGCTGGGTCCACAAGGTCCACCGCTGACTATCAAATCTTCTTGCTATTTATACCTTTTAGCAAACAAAGGCATTAATACTTATTGGCTACCAGTTACATAGTTCTCTTATTAATTAGTATTCTATCATCTATTGGTTTAATGATTCCCTTACTTCTCATGCTAATTATTCTGCATGCTCAGTCTTTCTCTTCACTTGAGTCAGTGGATTTCTTGGGTCGGTGGGCCATGAGTCGGTGGTTGCCATCTCCCCCTGCCAGAATTACCTTTTACCCTGTCAGAGCTGATTTCAGCACAGTTGTGAGTTGGCTTTATTAGTTTCTTCCTTATCTTGGGAGCTCTGCTAAATATCCTTGTGGATGGTAAGTTCTGCATTCCTTGTATCCACTATCAGTGATACATCCTTCTTCCCAATCTTTGTTAACCATTCCATAGATCCTAACACCTGGACAACAGTATGACCTTTATGCAGTCCAAATTCTGGGTATCCAGAGAGGTGTCTTTGGGGAGCTTTGTGGCCACTGGTGGTTGCAGATGATGGCCCATAACTTGAGATGGTCTTTGTTTGACCAGTGATATGCATATGAGCAATTGCTTCTTGTCACACAATGACAGTGGGGAAATTTTGTTTGGATGCATTAACCAGGATGTACTAACCAGATCTTGCCTCTGCCAGGCCTGGAATTAGCACCTACGTGTCACAAATTCCTCCCTTCTGTGGCCTTAACAGTGTTTGAGACAGGCAACTGTGTTCTGTAACTCCAAACAGTGGTCACTGAGGCCAATTATCAGCCCCCATTTCCACGTAAGGAGCCATTTGAAATCAACTTGTAATACAGATAGAGGCTCTAAATATCATCTGAGGTGAATATGAGATCCAGGTAACTGCTTAGGGTCATTAAAGGCTAGATGAGAATCAATTAACTGGCCCGTGATCACTGAAGGTCACCATCGCTACTCGGGAAGGTCATTTGAGATCAACTTGAAGGTTAAATAACCGCTGTAGGGTCATCTGAGGTCAACCTGATGGGTCAGTTAACCTGTCTGGAGTAGGGTTTATCTGGCATGATCATGAGACCCCTCTATATGCAAGGGGTTGTTTGAGGTCAACTAGGCCATTGTTTGGAGACTAAGATCATCTGAGGTCAACTTGACATGCAATTACCTCCACAGAGGTCCTTTAAGGTCACCGCTTTTCTCATTTGGAGGAGGGGCAAGTATTTGAAGTCTGCTTGAGATCCAATTAAGCAGTCAGGTTTCATTTGAGGTCAACTAGAGAGTCTGTCAGGGTTCATGTGAGGTCAGTGAAGCCTTTATTCAGTGCTGAGTGGTCATTTAAGGTAAACCTGAGGTCCAATTAATTGCTTGATTTGTCATTTGAGTTCAACCTGCCCTTCATTTGGTGCCAAGGGGTCATTAGAGTTCAATCACAGTCCTTGATTCCTGCCTAAGATTATCTGAGTTCAGTCTGAGATGCAAGTCTCACTGCATGGTCATCTAAAGTCAACCGTCATGGTTGTGGCACACATCAATTCAAGTAAACATGAGTTCAAATTACTTATGGGAGTCACACCAGGTCCAATTGGCCCCACATTTGAGCCCCAAGGTTCATCTGAGGTCAACATGCTAGCAAATTAGATAAAAGGGGTCAACATGGTAGCCAATGATCTGCTTGGGGTCATCTGAGGTCAATGCTGCACTCATTTGATGCCTGGGGTCACCTTTACAGACAGTAAATTGCCCAGGGTCACATTGGTCCTTGTTTTCATTCAACAGGTTATTTAAGTCCAATTGAGAATCAATTAACCTGCAGGTGTCATCTGAGATCAATCTTAATTCCAATTAGCTATCCCAAATGATCACTTGGGGTTACCCTGGCCTCCTTTGATGTCCAGAGGGCACCTGAAGTTAATCCAGACCACATTTCCTTAAGGCCACTTGAGGCCAACCTTAAATCCATTTAGGAGAACAGGGGTAATTTGTGGCCATTCTAGCTGACCACCCTAAACTTCCCTTGGTCTCCTTGATCAGTTGCTGACCTGACCATTTGCTGCTCAGACATTTTCAGAAGTCACATAGCACTTCAAATTTCATAGCAGGGGTCATCTGAGGAGAAGTATCTCTTCTTTCACCATCAGGTGAGACATTTACCTATTGAAACAAGGCCTCCTGGGTACATTCTGTGTTTTAGTAGAGCCTGGCTCATGCCACAGACCACAGAAACAAGATGACATTGGCAGTATCTCTGGGATGAGAGTTCAGCCAGGCAAAACAGCAGGAGAAAAACTCAGAAGTCAGAGAGTGCTCTCTGTTCCCCAGCCTCCCCTCTTCTACCTCCTCTCTCTCTCCTACTCTTTCAGTTACTCCTCCATTCTGCCAGTTGGGCTGCCTGCACAGTGTCAAACCTAAATCTTATTTTTTCAATGACAACCCAAGAAATGGAAGGCTTTAGCCATCTGCCTAAATCCTTGATACAAAGAACAGAGCTAGACTTTCTTTAGTGTGATAGTTTCAGTCTAGGCCTTCCTGGAGACCAGCTTGTAACCAGGAAGGAACTGGGGAAGTGACCAAGGAAGTATTCCATGCTATTCCTTTACGTAAACTGAGGTATAAATAAGCCGGTCAGAGAGACCTCTTTCTCTTCTTTTCCGACGAGGTTAGGGAACGGTACGTCCCTGCGTTGGTCTTGCTTATCTGGAGCTGAGGCCTGCAGTGACTGCTGTTGTCTGCCATGCGTGAGGTGGAGAGGTTAGGGTTAGGGTTAGCCAGGTCTGGCTGTCCTGCTTTTCTCAAGGGAAGTGGTGAGATTTCATTTTGCTAGTTCTTTATTCTGCTAGTTTCTGAGTTTTTGATTGTGCATATCTGTTTTGGTTTTGTCCTTTTTTGTCCCGTTTTTCCCCCTTCCCTTTCCTTTTTGAGATTGTATATAGTATTTCAACTGTATGTAACTGTACTATATGTAAATACATATATATTTTAATATAGTTCAGCTAGTCTGGATTTTTTTAATAGTTTTTTTCTCTTTTATTCTTTGCCAGAGGTTTTGTCCTGGGTCTTGGGGACTTGGCGGGGAGCCAAATCAAAACTTAGATGTTTAGGCAGTAAAGTCACTTCTTTCCTGCAAGACTTTTCTCTGATTTTTCTTCTTGAACTTAAGTGTTTTATCACAACTGAATATCAGCATCTAAATTGGACCCAGGTTATTTTAAAACACTGGTTTATTTGTTCTGTCCCTGCAAACAGAACCAATGCCAGATAGGTAAATGAACAGAGCATTACAGCTGTTTACACACTCCAATAACAAAGAGAAAAATAGCTTTTGCTTGGTTTTAGTTTGAAATTTTTCTTCCCCAGCAATAGGTACCACAAATTAGGATATCAAACTCTCTTCCAGAATAATGTGAGGTATGACATATACACTAAAGAAAAGCTGAAAAGCAATAACAAATCTTGCAAATGGTCTAGCAAAAAGGTAAGGGCTGACAACTCTGCTGTGACCACAGTTGATGGGAAGGCCCAGGACATTCCAGACAGGCTTTTCTTTATCTCTGGGAACAATTTTTCAACAAAAAGGGACTGGCATCAGCATCCTAACAAGGTAAAACAAATGTAAAATGTAGATGATGTAAAATAACAGATTTGACAATGAAGTTCATGGAATGCTGTTCTTTTATATCAGCTCCTTGAGATTAAAAATAAAAATAATTGACTTATTTTCTGTTTGTTACTTTCACCTGTTTCCCCTAGTGCTCAGAAACGTATTTCATTCTATACCTATCAAGAAACAGAAACATTTTGAAAATGTTCTTTTATTCTTTTGAAACAGTACGAAATAGATTGACAAAACCACAACAAATACAAATCCATTTCTAGAAAATACAGATGTAATATCCCTTTTGACTTTATTGCACTAACAATAAATGAAAAACCTCAAATACACCACAATTTTTAAAAAAGCCTTCCTGAGTATGAGGTTTTCAATTTCTGAAGATTTTTCATGCATTTAAGCTACATCTCCAATGGAGCAGATGCCAGAAACACATTTTGCTTTGAATAATCCCAAGTGAATTCCCAAGTAAGCTCTTTTAAACTTATATTAAAATGTGAGCATATAAATATTCCAGTGGTTTTGACTTATTTTGTTTTGTTTATTCAAAAC